TTTTTTTTTTAAACTGAGCTCTGTATCGCGCCACTGTTGGCTGGGCTGGGTGGTGGTGGTCCAGCTCAACAACATCAGCAGCAGCAGTGGCGCGCCCCGGGGCCCCACAGACGTTGGGGCCCCCCGCCCCGCCGCAGGGCTCTCGCGGGCTCCCTCAGATAAGCGCGGCTGCAGCAGCAGCCACAGACAGCCCCACGGGCGCGCGGGGGCAGGGCGGTAGGGGAGTGCATGGCAGAGTCATTCACAGAGACAACGACTCGTCACCCCTAAAGCTAACGCACACGGCACCTTTGCGCCGCCGATAACGAGAGGGCCCCCAAAGCCCGGGCGGAAACCTTTATTATTACTTCTCTGCTTGTCCAGCAGCAGCCCGCCACCCCCGGCTCTCTATCGCCCGCTCCATCGCCCGGGGGTGGGGCGCTTGGGCAGCTCAGCCCCCTCGGTATGCGCCGGACCGAGTTCATATCCGGGGCCAGCAGCAGGGCCCTCTCTGATCGGCAGCCTGATCTGATGATCGGGCCGCGGGCGGCGGCGGCGGGGTCAGCGCGCGTCACCCGATGGCCGGCCCCCCGGGGGGCATCCGGTCTCGGCGCGTGGACCAGACTACCCCGTCAACACGTCGCCGTCAGCCCCCCGGGCAGGTAGGCAGCCCGACGACGACGACAGGGAGAGCCTCTCTGCTATTTGCAGCGCGCACACACACGGCCGGACGCGACCCGGCGGCTACTGCTTGTTGTGCAGAAGTCTCGGGCCCGGCGGTGCCCGGCGGCAAGGTATGTCTCGAATGTCGCCCCCAGAGATGCAACCCCTCGCGAGTGGCAGCGCGCGCCGGGAGCCGAGTCTAGACGGGGGTGGCCGGGGAGCGGCGGGGCGAGCGGGGCAGGGCGGGGGCCGAGCCGGCCTGGGGGCCTCTGGCTGGCCGGACAATACGGACGATCAGTGCCGGCCCCGCCCCGCCGCGCCCCGCCCTGCCCCGATGCTGCGCTTCTCCAAAAGGCATATCACGTATCAAAAGAAGACTGCTGAGAAGGTTGATTTCGGGGCAAAAAAGCGATACGGGCGGAACAGACGGGTTTTGGGGGGAAGGGAATTACACGACCGTATCACCCGATTCTGCCAAGAAGGAATCGAGAGCAGAGCGCAGCTCGAGAGACACGAGAGAAGTGCCACCCCACTTGAAGGGCTTATGGACTTCCCCGCAGCACCTGAACGCGACGGGTCGGGACCTACCGACAGGGTTCTCGGCACCCACCTCGACAAACGGGGGCACATCGAGTTTCGCCTCAAAACTATTTAGGGGCAAAAAATAACAAAACTTGGACGATTACAAAAGAAAACTTGCAAAAATTACAAAATAAAATAAAAGGTGTAGCAGACGACTATCAATCGGCCTTCTTTAATGAGAGGGTTAAAACCGTCGCGTCCTGTCGCATACCGACCGCGACCGAAACAGGACGTCTAATAAATGGATTTAAATATATCCACCCACTACAGAATCTTAGAAACGACAGCAAAAACGCGCACGGTTACGCGACGACGTGAAAGTCTACAGAGTGCGTTCGTGGGTACTTCGCACGAGCCCTCCCACACGAGACGAACACAACATACAGCACAGAGCACGCTCGCAGGACACACACAAACACAAACCACGGGCGCACACACGGCGACACTTCTCTTTTCATAGGGTGTCAGCACCACCCGGTGGTGGTGGGCGTCGTTTCCTGAAAGTACCGATAGTGGGTGCTCGGGTACTTCGCACTCCCAGCCCTCCCAAAAGACGAACACAACCCACAGCGCAGCACAGACACACACACACCACAACAACAAGTTTCTGTTCAAAGGATGTCAGTACTAACCGGTAGTGGGCGTCGTATCCTGGTACATAGACAGAGCCATGGCGTCGAGATGTTGACGAAAGTCCGTGGTCAGAAGAATAATAAAAACAACTTGAAGAGTAGTTAAATAAAAACTGGCTCGTCGGTCCGATGCACTGTAGTTATCCACTGGCGATGATGAGACGCGTTTGGTCGTTGCGGTTCGGTTCACTTGCACACTGGCATTCGGCTCAGTCCCGACTCGTCGTCGCGTACTCGGCGGAGGGCATGGTCGTCGTCGGCGACAGAGAGGGAGCGGGCTGGCGACTTTCCCTCCCCGTGGCTGGCAAGACACTAACACTAGTCGGCGGCGGCGGGCGGCGGGCGGCGGGCGGGCACCCTCCTCCTCTGGCCCGGCGCTGCTGGAGCTAGGCTCCTCCCCTTCCCCCACCACCCGGGCTGCTCCCCGCCCCGCCCCGCCCCGCCGCCGTGGCTCGGGCTCGCCACGGCCCGGACGGCCCGATTCATACTCCTAACCTACGCCAACCAACACGTCTCCTCCTACACACACTGCACTCACGCACACACACACACACACACACATACGCGCCCCGGCACTCGCACGGAGTAAAGGGCAGGGCCAGGCCGTATGGGGGGGCCGCCGGCGGCGTGCCGGCAATCGATGTGTTCAACCCATTCATGTGTGGGGCGTTGTTGGGGGGGGGGGGGGCGAGGAGGGAGCGCGTCGTCGGGGAGGGTGGGTGCCCTTGGGGCCCTTGTTGTTGGACCCCACGACGACGCCGACGGGCGCGCGCGCGTCCAGGATGCTCACATCGGCGGTGGTGGGGTCATGTGTGTGGCGCCCCCTTATACCTTCTACATACAACACTGACGAGCAGACCGCACACTGCGAAAAAAAACAAAAAAACCGCGGCGATTGTCGAAACTTATCGGCAGTCTTTCAAACATCTAGACTGGAACGCTCGGCCGGCAATCTTTTATCAAAACGGGAAACCTCTACTTTCAAATTCTTTGAAAAAAAAAAAGAACAGAAGCGTGACCATTCTTGTGTTTCCCTATACATGGTGCCGTGTTATCAGAGGTGTTAACGGTCTTAACAATGTCTATAATTGCACGTAATGCACCTTCTCCACTCGTGGTCGCGTCGTGAACAGACTAAATCGAGTTCGGCGGGCGACGGCCGGTGCCGGTCACGACCATGGTCACGACGCGGGTCCCCTTGTGCGTCAGCAGGGTCACGGAGGAGCCGGGACCCCGTCACGCTAAGTCACGCGCCCGGCCAGAGTGCGTCACGCCAGGTCACGCGCACCGGCACAGGTAGCAACGGCGGCTGATACGCCCGTCTGTGTATTATATTGCATTTGCATGTGTCACGATGTTCACATTTCGAGCTAACATATCAGTCTGACCGATCGTAAATGAAAGCTTTTCGAAAGCAATAAACTTTTGCATATCAGTTCAGTCTAAGAGAGACCGAACAACCCTCGCCGGCAATAGTTCCTTATAAGAAAATCATACGCTGCATAGATGGTTATTCACAGACTTTTTTTTTCTTTCATTTTTGTAACCATAAAATTTAGGTTTCGTCCTTTTTGAAAACCCGGCTTGATTCCCGTCGGAACTTTGGCTTAATTTTTGACCTTTGCCCTTTGGTCCGTCAGCATCACAACCCAGACTGCTGGAGGCTACCTAGTGTCGACCTGGAGGCACATAGGCGGCCTGGAAGTGGCCTGGAGACGGCCTGGAGGCGGCCTGGAGGCGGCCTGGAGACGCTGCGTAATGAAAACGAGACGAAGCGGCCGCCGCCTCCAGGCCGCCTCCGGGCCGCAGGGCCGCACGGGCGGCCAAAACGCGGGAAGCAAAGGAGAGAAAGAGGGAGCGAGGTGCCATCGATCGCAACCCGTTAGCCTCCTCCCCCTTTCCCTCACTTACGCCCCTACTCCCCCCACCCCTTCCCCCCTGTAGGGTCGTTATTCTCCGGCACTGTTTTGTTCGCTCATAACAACCTCCGCTTCTTCCTTACACCCTCGGAGGCACGGTAGCGGAGGAGGGAGGGAGAGGAGGGAGGGAGGAGGGGGGAGGGGGAGGGGAGTAAAATGTTGCCAAGTACGGGTGGGGGCCGGGCCTCTGGCGAGCGCGTGGAGAGAGCCCACCAGGGCGAGAAGGGGTGGGCGCCCGAGAGCGAGCGGACCCTCCCCGCCCCCGCCCCGCGCCGCCCCCGCGCCGCCCCCGGCCCGGCCCTTGCCCGTCTTAACGCGCAAGCTCAGGCCCCAGCAGCAGCAGCAGCAGCAGCAGCAGCCCTCCTCGGCCCTCTCAAGGGCAGCAAGAGAAAGGGGGATACAAAGGGGGTGACTCGGACGAAACCGGGAGCAGCAGGGAGGACGGCGCGCACTTCCACCTCACGCAGAAGAGGCAAGCAGGGGGCGGGGTTCGGGAAAAAAAAACACAACATAAAACTTCCTAATTGAATTAGGTTTTGCCCTGTATGATTTGTCCGGCGAGCCTAAAGGCCGGGGCCTTGCGACCGGCCTGGCCTATGCGACCCCTGCCAGCTCTCTGCCGGAGCTTTCGCGGAGACACGCCGTCTGACGACGGGCGAGTGTCACCAAGGTTGTCACTACTTCTTGGCCGTCACTCGTCCTCTTCACGAGAACAGGAGACTGCGTGGGTTTCACCGGCCAGAGGGCCCCGGCGGCCAGCGCCCGGAGCAGGTCATACCGGAGGGCGCATCCTTCCGTCCACTGCCAAAAATAATAATTTTTTAAAAAATTACAAAAACGATATACTAAAAATGAAAGGGCGAGAGCTACGGACGGGTGGCAGTGACGCGAGATAGGAAAGCCGAGCGATTTGCGACAGAAATCCCGGAAGGTACGCTAAAAGCTTGGCGGGGCTTCCGACGGAACGCAATAATTTTTGGAAGCCACCCCCTCAATAACCTCGCAGGCAGGAAGGGGGGGGGGGCTCTCCGTCGCACTGAACAAACCTCGAGCCGCAAAGAGGCGGGTTGTGTTTTTTAATGGAAAGTCCACACAGCCTCAGCCAATCTGGAGGGCGGCCGGGGGCAGCCGGGGGGCGGCCCGCTAACGAGAAACCCTCCTCCGCCGCCGTCGAGTCCCTCCCCGGCCGCGCGGCCAGCAGCCCTCCTGGAGGTCGCTCCGGTCGCCCGGAGGCCGGAGGCCCCCGGGGCCTCCCCCGCACCTCGGTGGCCGGACCGGGCCGGGGTCACTGGCTCACCCCCTTCCCTTCTCCTCCCGTCGTGCGCTTCTCCCGAAGAGGCTGATCCTGGCGTTCCCCACGGCTCACGGCCCCGGGCCCTGGGCCGGGTCCACCTGTGGCCCGATGAGGCGTGCCCAGCACAGGTACCTAATCCCCCCGGCCCTTACATGGCCCCCGTCGGGGTCGATGAACCCGGGCCCCGGGCCGGCGCAGCGCAGCGCGCAGCACCCACATGTGAGTGAGGTAGGAGGCGAGGCACGCCGCGCCCATGGGGTTGCACCCCTTGCACCGGGGTTTACACCCAGGATGCACCTCACCCAGGTTATGTACAACCTTTGCACCCGAGGGGTGCTTAGCTAAAAATATATGTGCGCACCTTCTGAAAACACATGAAAGAAAAAATTCAATCAAGAGCTTAATATTTGTTCTCTTTAATATTTCCTAATCGAGAGTAAAAGCTGCTGAAACCTTACATTAATAATGTATACTTATGTTTAGTCTTTTGTAAGGTTCTAGGTGTAAGGTATCATCGGCTAAAATTTAAAAAAAAAATCAAGAAAATATCTGGAAAAAGAAAACATCAGAAACATCGGTTTGCGCTTGAATTTGTACTGAAGCACCCCTCGGTTGCACCCAGGCTAACACCCGTTACACCTTTACGCCTACTTCACACTTCTCTACTCATCCCCTCTCGGGCGAGGTAGCACCCGGGGTGTTCTCGGCCCCCCGCTATGGATTTTCCACGCCACGTCAAGAGTGCCAGGGCCTCGTCAGCCTACTGCCCCCACCCAACCACAAAAATAGGTTTCCACGAGAAACACCTCCTCTCTTCCAGCGCGGACCACGCTCGAGTACGCAGTACAGTACGTACCGCGCATACAAAAGACAATGCGCGCCCACAAGGAGAAGACTACTTGACGCCTTGTACAAAAATGCTCGACGTTCGTGGCCCTTCCCCCGCCAGCCTCAGAGGCGACTCCTGAAAGTAGGGAACATGGGGATGGGGCTCCGGACGCGGTCAACCACCGCGACACACATCACAGCGCCCCAAGTCGTCGTAGAGGGCCCTCGTAGAGGTTATGAGGAAGTTGTCCGATAAGAGGAACAAGAAGAAGGTAGCGTGGCGTAGCGCCGTGTCTCATATTATTGTCTTTCTTCGAACGCGGTGACGCGACGGCCACGCGGCCGTGCCGCGACGACGCCGGGCAGTCTGCTCCAATTTGTCGTCTGCCTCTCTCGGCCGGCCGGCCGGACCCTGGACCCGCAGACACTCTCCCACGATCATCAAACGGGGTAACCCTAACCCCCTCCTCCGTCCGTCTCTCTTGCTCTCGCATACATCCCCACACCCGCGCAATAGCATCAGCATGCGAGCGATATCTCCCTTTTACTCTTTTCTTCTCCCAATACGTCGTCGTCTCCCCCAGAAAACGGGGTGTTTTTGCTGCGCTCCTTGTCCGTGTCCGTAGTGTCCATTATATATATCCCCCGGTGTGCGGACGGATGCATGATGTGTGCGCCGACCCGTCGTCGTCGTTACAATGCGCATACTACCACCTGGTATATGGACCTGGACCGGACCCGGCCCCGGCGGGGCCAGCCTCCTCGTCGTCGTCCTGGAGCCCCACCGGGAGCAACCCTTTTGTGTGCGAGAGTTGTTAGCATGTCGGGCTGCTGCTGGACGGTATATGTGGGATCAGGATTTCTGCGAGTGTGTGTGTGTGTGCGCCGGGATCCGTTTCGCCGCGTCATTGTAGAGAAAGAGAGACCCTACTATGCGGGGGAAGGAAGTTAAGGCGATTCGTTTTGTCATCGGCGAGCCTTTGCTTCGCCAGGATAAACATACCTGTGCGGGGGTGGTGGTGGTGGTGGTGGAAGGTAATATGGAGGAAAGGGTCATCGCGACCGTCAGCGGCAGCCGACGCCGCCGTGCCGACTGCTGTCGATACGTACTACTGTCGCGGCGGTGGTGGCAGCTGCTCGCAGCCACACACTCACGGCGCTGCCGTTGCCGCCGCGACTGCTGCTGCCGCTGCTGCCCGCGGTGGCGCGACGACTCGCGTGCACTGTGTCGGCGCACCTGCCCGCACCTGTCGCAGCCGCAGCAGCGCGGCCCCCGCGGCTCACACGCGCGCTGCTGCTGCTGCTGCTGCTTCGCGGGCATA